AGTTCATCTGCATAAGAGCGTGACGCTCTAAACGTCTGTGTCACGTCTTTCTCTAATTTTGCAACACGGCCATTTATAACGTTCTTTACATTTACGTAGTCATCGTATGCTTTGGCAATTCGATCATTGGTCTCCTTCACGTCGTTTCGCAGTATCCTTAACACTTCTCCAATTTGCTTCAAATCAATATCTATGGATTGAAAATGAGTATTATTCAGCACTGCCTCCTTCACCTCTTTACCTATATTTTTCTTTAGATCATTAAAATGTTCTGACACCTCTTTATCTATTTTTTCTTTAGATCATTAAAATGATCAAGACTAAGACTGTCCGCGTGAGTTTTCACTTCTTTTAGAACCTCATCCAATTGTTCTTTATTCACGACGTCCGTCGGAGCCGTGCCCTTGCCCACCTTTCGAATGAGCTTATTGTGAAAATTGTAATTCCCCGACGATCTGACCTCCGGAAGAATATTCAAGAGATCGCGTGGGATTTTCTTTTCGTGAGCCTCCAACATGCTCTTCAATTCGTTTCTAGCCGTAGACACGACTCGGCATGCTCTCGTTCGAACTGTATTTGCTTTGAAACTGAAAGTGCTAATTCCGCTTGTTTCTCTACGAACGCACTACGAAAAATCGAATGGTTGCCAATTGCTTCTGTTTTACTATTCAACTTATTCAACTTGACCTGCAAATTGTGTATTGTAATCATGGTGTCGTTGGTCAGACTCATGGTTCGTGCATCTGAATGGTAGATCATCTTTTCCATCTTGTCTTCCAATTCGGTGTGGTGTCCTTTAATGCATGCATCCATATCACTCTTTATTGTCTCCTTCAAGGTATTTAGTTTTTCTTGAAACTCATTGAGATCATCCTTTATGAAACTCTTCGAGACGAGCGCCTCTTGCAGCTCATCGTACTTCTTTTGAAGACGATAAACTTCATGTTCCACGAAACTCTTCGAGACGGTTTTCTCTTCCAGTTCTTTCAGTTCCGATTCTACGAACGTCTTCGAAACGGCGTCTGTCTCGTCTTCCACCGCCCCGATGTTCTTGAGACGTCGCTTTTCCAAATCATAATCGTATTCCCCCCAGCATCAGCGACCGCCGCTCGCTTTCACCGTTTTAAGGCAAACATTTGAACGGCGTGATGGAGCCGTTCGTCTACGTAACGTTTGATGCTTTTTTCAAAAACACCCTCGTTCGAACTATCGACGCGTCCAAAGATGTTCATCTCTCAAAAAGAAATGCAACTATGATCAATTGTGTTTATTTATTTCTCTATATATTACATTTGTTGACCATGTATACAATGAAACATTTAAAAAAAATAAAAAAAAAATGTGTCGCGGTAGGACACGAACCAGCGTGCACGATACGCGCATTGACTAGTTACTCGAATTTACACTCGCACGCTGACCCCTGTGCTAGCGCGACACATTGGAAAAGAGGACGTTCTGGTCGAATAGTTTTATTATTATAATGTAGGCCATAAAATAAAATTATTCAAACGTTACATATTCACAACGCTGCGCTCGCGCTGAACGGCAACCGCAAGCGACATCCGGCGTAGCGCACGCACATTGTTAACGGCAGGAAGTGCAAACAATCTGCGACCGCGACCGGATGCAACTTCCGGCAAAACGCTCGTTGGTGGTGCACAAGTCTGAAGATCAAATACTTAGCACTGTACAACAAATAAAATGTTTAAACTTTCAACAACAATAATTGTAGTACCCTTTGTCGTAACGCATTTGCTTTTGAAAATCAACAGATGACAATGAATAACCTGTACAATATAAACACTTCACATGGATAACATCGCGCCATTCGCTCCGCCGTCATGAACATCGTTCCACAAACGACGAAGCTGCCAATCGTGAACGTGATCGGATTGTTGAAAAACAATCACAGCGGAGATGATGGGAGTCGACACGGGGACCTTTTACCCGACAGCGTTCGAGCCCTCGTCGTTGGACCGTCTTGCTGCGGTTGTTGTCATGACACTGCTCACCACGTAGAACGGTCTCAAATTCGAAAACGTGTATTTGTATTCCACCACCGAAGGGCAGCCTATGTACGTGTTTTTAAAGGAAGTGTTGAAAGATATTATTCCCTTTCATTCCATTACACACCAGGATAGTATCGTTCCCCCTTCCGAAGCGAAGCCCAGCAGCGTGTTCGTATTCGACGACATTGCAACAGAGAAGTAAGACTGTATAAAGGCCTACTTCACCACCGGTCGTCGTAAACACACGGACGTGATGTATCTCTGTC